CATCACTACTACTTTAAAATATCACTTTTGGAGTGTAAATTAATAATTTATACTTATTTCTTTAATATTTCTTTAATTATAAACTGAAAAAAGTTAAACAAGATGGAACAACAATTCAATAAATCAGGTTTCGTAGTTGATTACGATCTACCAAGTATAAATAATAGTTCTACTATTAAAATTCTCAATTCGTAAATAAATAAAAATACATGCATGTGATACAGCTAAATAAATGATACTTTGTAACATATTATTATAATAAAAATTAAATAGGTTCCAAAAATATTTAAAAAATTTTAAAATAACACATATTCCCGTAACACTTGTACATTTATGATCTTGAACTTACGTCATGTTTATAAGGTATAAGATTAAGCTAGACACTAACCCTTTTCAATTCCTGTTTCAACAAGGCAATGCTTTATGATCGTCGTGATATTATCTTGTTTTTCTTCTTTGTCAGTATCTATAGAAAAATGAACAGTCATTTAAATATTATTTGTAATGTCATGCATTTTTAAAAACAAAACTACACGTATGCAAGGTCCAGGTGTTTGAAATTTGAAAATATTTGATCGAAATTATATTAGTTTCAGGTAAGAACAACACCTGTGGAGTCGCTCTTCAATACTTGAATTGCACAATCATACCAAATTGAGTCGATTGTCGAATCGATACCTTCAAATTCTATTTATTTTGTTTTTCTCTTATAGTGGCAGTGCATTTTATAATGTGTTTAATTCCAATGCACTTCTCAATATGTTCTTAAAAATAAATTTAGCACATAATGCAAATATTGTGTTTTCTATTACTTTTAATTGCACTATTCTTTATGTTGTGCACAATTGTGTAAATATGATGTGTACATGAAACATATAAACAATGGAATCAATCAATAAAATCCAAAAGGACAAGCAAACGACAGACATAGTAAAAAACTTTGATATTACCTATTTCAATAAAATATTTTAAAAAATAATAATTTTATAGCTTTGAACTTGTTGAAATGAACAAGAGCGAGAGACAGGTATAGGAGTTGATATGGTAACTGATGATTAGCATGGGTACTCACATACGCATTTGCATAAATTTTTTTAAACTATAATTGTAACAATATTTTTTATATTAAGTACATTGATTCAAACATTTTTCGGATTCTTTAGCATAAAATATTTTAAAAAATAATAATTTTATAGCTTTGAACTTGTTGAAATGAACAAGAGCGAGAGACAGGTATAGGAGTTGATATGGTAACGGCATCTCATTCACCATTCGGAGATGTGAACAAATACCACTTGAGTATTGCTGCTAGCCTAAGATTTAAGTATGTATATTTATGATATAGGGTATCTTATCAATTTCTATTGGACCTATCTCCATAGGGAAATATGCATATATTATTATCATTATTATTATTATTTTTTTTTTCAACGAGTTTCACCTCAGTGAATTACTATGAAAATAAAAGTAGGTTGACCTTCTGCAAAAAAGTTTTCATCTCATGAGTGTATTGTCATCAGGAGAATTTTCCGAACGAGCTAGTACATTTTAAGCAGTAATGCAATTTTTATGAAAAAAAAATTTTCAAGCAAAAGTGTTACTTTAGCATCTGACTAAAAAACTCATTTCAGAATCTATAACTGGTTATTTATTTCAAAAGTAATACGAAGGCAATACTAGTCCAGGCTACTTATGATATTTTGTACTTTGAAAAATGAACTAACAAATAAGTGTCTTGTATGGATATTTATAGAATATTTTGTTTGCATATAGTTTCAAAAATAGTTATCATTCGAATGATATCTCAAACATTAATTAGGAGCTTGAAAAACAATTACCGTAAATTTTATTATTGCAACGAAGAAAAAAAAAATTTTGTCTACAAAATTCATACCGTGAAAATTTAACTGTTTTCAAAAATTACACATACTTATATTTATTATTAACGTATTTACGTTTTCAAGAATTCTATTGTTAAAATCTGTATGTCTGAGCACCGTAATGGCTTTTTTCGTTCGTTTGGGCATGCCGTTATCGCCAATCTAATAATTTCTTGCTTTTGTTCACACTCGTATATGAAGCGCTCGTATTATTAAAATTACACATCGTTGCGTTGCTCTAGTTTTTTTATTTTTTCATTCCGATAAATATGCCTACGTAATAGACTTCCGGTTTATATGTGTATATATATATATCATTGAAGTCCTTCCGGTGAAAAATTAGGTATATAAAAGAGTGTTGATTCTTCTTAGGTAAGCTGTACTCTTTTTAGTAGCCTGAATTACACGTACTTTGATTTACAGTCAAGATGAATTACTTCGCTCCCATTGTTTTGCTGTCTATAGTTTACTTTGCAGGTGCCTATCCTGAGGTAAAAAATTATTTTCTCATTATTTTACATGTATTTTATAATTATTCATTTTTTTAGTAAATTTTTTTGTGTAAAATTACTAATTTTTTTTTCATAGGTATCATCGGGCCCACAGAAGAATACCAAACAGGAAATGCAGTACAAGAATAGTTGCATTACTGAATCTAAAATTAACAAAAGTGAGTATTCAACTAAAACTAATACTTAATAAAAATGGACGTACATTTAAGATGAACAAGCATAAATTTTATCTTCGCAAGTGTTTTTTGTTTTTCAAAATCATTCGATAGTTTTGGATAATGTGAAATTTTTCTGTGGTAAAAGATGCCGTCAACAAGTAAATTGAATTTTTATTAAAATACTCCACTTCTGATAAAGTTGACAATTGGTTGATTTACAATTTGAATCGGGACTGATTTCTCTTGATTTACGAAACGTAGAAAGTGCATTGTTCCCAATATCTCTTTAAATATTTAAGTTATTGTGTACGAAGTTGGACATAATATTTTTCTAAAATTTGTGTGATGATTTGTAGAGAATTTTTGATTTCATTCTAACTAGGGATTTGAAATACGTACTTATCTTTCAGCCTTGGTCGAACGTGTTGAAAAAGGGGAGATGGAAGCGGAGATGTTCGAAGATGAAAAACTTAATTGCTATTATTCCTGCTTTTTTAAGAAAACTGGTGTCGTAAGTTTAAAAAATATATCACGATTATTACTATCCACCAAAAAATATTTATATTAGAAACAAAAAAAATTCATTTTTGCCACTACTCCATTCAAATGTTTGTGCTTTGTCTAGATTTGGCTCAAGATTCAAGCTGGACCTTTATTTCATGACTTTGTTGATTTTTAATTCATAAATTTAGGTGTACAGTAGGTATTTTTCTTTTAAAATTTGTCCAAAAAAGATCGATTGAATATTGGGCTAAATAATACAAAAATTTAAATTAGGACATCAACATAATATTAATTAATCTTCATTTATTTACTCATATTCTACATTATTAAGCTAGTGAATTCAAGATAACTTAACCAACAAAAATTATTTTATACGCTTGACCATCCAGCGCATCGCCAAAGTTACTCTTTAGAGAGGCTTTTTAACCTGATGAGGATTTTGAATATTTTATCTATGAACGTTCTTGCTTACATAAATGAACAAGTTGATAATACTCCAATGTGCTGTTATATTTGTTGATAAAATATTCAATCCACGTTTGAGCTAATTAGCATCATCAACAATACTTTTTAATGAGAGCAGTAATTTTTAATTTAAAAAAAACTTAACATTTATATTTGTACTGTCATTAAAATCTTAACTTCTTCATCTGTGAATTCATGAAACTAATCAATAGAAAATTGAATTATCATATTTTCTAAAAAAGAGATTTTCTGAAATCGATAAAATCTAAATAAAAAAAGTAATTATCAAAGGAATTGAAATTTTTTTCTTTTATTTGGGTACTTAAATATTCAGATATACAAAACTAACTAAAATAAATAAGCCCATATTTATGAAAATCAGTTGATGGAATCCTGAAATATGATGATTAGCATGGGTACTCACATACGCATTTGCATAAATTTTTTTAAACTATAATTGTAACAATATTTTTTATATTAAGTACATTGATTCAAACATTTTTCGGATTCTTTAGCATAAAATATTTTAAAATAAGAAAAGGCAAGAAATTGAATTTTTCAAAAAACAATCGATAATGTATGCTTAGAAAATTTTAGATGTGTGACCTTGAGATTTTTTAATGGTCATGGCAAATGCTTAGGGTATGGAAATTTCTCCCTTCGTCAAATAAAACGTGACAAAGATTTATTTTTCTAATTTTTAAACTAATTTTTTCTATGAAAATTTTATGATCCATTTTTCCTCCAGTTATAATTTGTTTTAATGTTTCGACTGTAAAATTTTTAAAAATATTTTCTGATTCATCAACAAATGTATACGTTGAATGAATAATACTTTAAAAATGTTTTATTTGTCCTTAAATTTTATTTATGGAGTCATTACTT